ATTTATTAGAATTCTGTGGCGAATTCCAAATTAAAAATAGTTCACTTAACAGCTTTAAAAAATACTTTTAAAATATTTTAAGACACCCCGTCTCATATTTTTAAGTTGGTCATTCCCGTGGCCTGATAAGTGTTTAAAACTTTGATCAGCTTTAAAGTGGTAGTTACTATATTTTAGTAAATACATTTTAATAAATTTAGCATGAAATTTCCAAATAATTCTAAGATGACTCATCTGGGAAACCAAAAGACAGACTTTAGTTTATAGCTACTCATTAGCAGCCTCTAAAACTAATTTCTAAATTTTACAGGGGAAAACTGGCTTTGCCGTCATAACTCGAAGTGCAGACGGTCACAGAATGAGGCTCGGTTTGCAAACCAGATTTCTTAGAAATGGTACACATCGATGATCTCAGAAGTTTAATGTTAATAAAATTGAATACCTGTATCCATAAGTTTTTTGGTACAAGTGCATTTTAAATTGAAGTCAGTTACTTAGAGACCGAATCCCCTTGTTAACTGGTCACACTGCACAGCGCTGGGGAAATGCTACAGTTTGCTGTCAACAAATATTTGTTACCATAAAGTTTCTATTTGTGTGGCTGCCTCAGTTCTCGCAATCAAATCTGGGTACAGGATTTTTTTTTTTTTTTTGGTCTCTTCTTTTAAGCTCTCCACATGGACAGCTAAAAATAATTTTTCGAAGATATTTTGCCCTAAATGGCTCAGAAGGTAATGTAAGGGGAGCCCATGCACCTTCACTTACGAGCACAGGTCAAAATAGTTTAAATAGGTCAGGACAATATCTGCAGACTCTTCTAAGAGCAAGTCCACAAATTGTCTCTGTGGCTACACATTTAATTCTAATCGCAGCTTTCACAATACTTTCTATTCTAAATTCAAGAAGCTGCAGCTGGAAATAATGGCCAGCAGATGAAGTAAGCAACATGGTACTTCAATTTACTCTCGAGATACATCTAACCTGATCTAAAGTTGACTCAATTAATCCTGATTCTTTTAAAAATCATACTTCTCCTGCATCTGAAAACTTAGCATTAAGTGCTTGTTTGTGTGTCTCCTACCAGCTGGGTGCTCAGACACCTCGTGTTCCCTGTGCTTCTCTCCGGGGACTGCTTCGTCCCCCTGACCCTCCTTCCTGCCCCAGACTCCCAGGGAGGCAAGCTGCCACTGTACAGAAGGAGGTGGTCCACTTTTAAAAGACGCCTGACTGTAAATGTCAAAGTCATAAATATTTAAACATTATTTTCTTTCAATTTCAAGTCAAGACTGAGGCGATGCCTCTAATTAGTCTTGGGGGCTCGGCAGGGCCCAACCCCAGGACAGAGCTCAGGAAGGGACCTGTAGATCAAGTAGCTCAGCTCAGGAGCAGAGACACTAGGGGGGCAGGCCACCCACTCACCCCAGGCAGGACTGGGGGTCAGACTCACTTGTGAGGTCATAGCGGGCTCATTTCTTTCTCTTAAAGCCCCTAAGTATTAGGTGTTTGAACATTTTTTTAACTCCACAAAAAGAAAGGAAATAAAATAATCCTCAGGTTTTTAAAAATCAGTCACTATGTCAAGGAGGAGACTCACTATCATTTGTTTAAAAGAATTTCTCTAAATTTTTGTTTCTTCCGGGATTCTTAAGACCGGACTCGCAGCTAACAGTTTTTTTCTCCATCCTCGACCCTGGGCGCAGCATAGTCAGGGTGCTGGAACCGCTGGCGGACCGCAGGGGTGACCTTTGGGCTCCAGCTGAGGTGTCAGCAGGCCAGCCCTGGGAGACAGAGAGCTCCCAGTCCCGCCTTAGGATGGTCCACCTCCAGGTCAGACTGGTCCAACTCAGCGGGTCCCTCTGTCCCGTGCTGACCTTCCCCCCAGGGCAGATCCCCGCCTCCGCCCCCTCTCCTCACCCCAGCATTGCCCACCCTCACCGACTGCCCTGGGGGCCCAGGACTCAGGCTCAGAGACCAGGGTCCGCCATCTCCAGCCTCACCGCCCCCTCCCCTGGCTGCAGGAAGTGGGCGGCGGGAGGTAACCCAGCCCGGGAACCACTGCCATCCTTTCCCTGTGGGCACAGCTCGAGCCCAGGCAGCGGAGATGGGGGAGACCCTAGATAACGGGACTCATGGGTATAGGGTCCGGGCCTCCTCCTTCCCCTCCTTTCTCGTCCTGGAGCAATCGAGACCGGCGGGGGGCCCCCTCCCCTGGCTGCAGGAAGTGGGCGGCGGGAGGTAACCCAGCCCGGGAACCACTGCCATCCTTTCCCTGTGGGCACAGCTCGAGCCCAGGCAGCGGAGATGGGGGAGACCCTAGATAACGGGACTCATGGGTATAGGGTCCGGGCCTCCTCCTTCCCCTCCTTTCTCGTCCTGGAGCAATCGAGACCGGCGGGGGTTGGACAGCGGGAGGGGGGAGCGGAGCA